CGCCGGGTCCTGTCGAATATACATCGAGTATGCTTCCAATTACACCACAAAGGCATGCTAGAAGAAAGGAGAAAATACCTTGTGTACTCCTAATATATTTATAAGCGTTTTTTCCCGTCTAATACATTGAGTACTAAATCTTCTGTTATAAGAGATATTTTCAGCAACATTGTAATTCCTATAGTAATTTATGGCATAGGAGCCTAGGTTACCAGGCCAGGAAACGTACAGAGGTTAAGGACGAAGCTAGATTCAAAACAAAGGAACTGGTGTCTCGATGATTTATGATACTATAATAAATTCTTATTGAGATCACAGCAGGAACTTAAGATATATAGAAATAATTTAGTTACCAAATTTATGTTTGAAATATTTAATCGCCTTTTATTCATCCTGTTGAAAATATTTCATGTTTATTTGATAAGCAAATACCTTGTATAGATATGCACTATATACATACCGATAACTCCGGTCAAGACAGTAAATATGGTGCAACTTTTGTAGTGTATTTTTATAGAAATGATACTGATTGAAAAAACTTTAAACTAAATTAATATAACTCTGTTTTTCAGGCTAAAAACTGTGCCTTCGAACAGGCTTTGAATTGGGTTATAAAAAATATAAAATGTGATGCTTCTGTAAATGTTTACAGTGACTGCTTGTCTCTTTTACAGGTGCTTCAGAACTCTGTAATTTCTAATTTGATAATATCCAATATAAAAGAGTACTATAAGATTATTGAAAAACGTATGACAATTTCCCTACATTGGATTTAAGTCCATGTGGGGTATCTGGGTAATGAGAGGGCCTATGTGCTAGCCAAGAAGGATATCTTACAAGACAACATATCCTATGCTGAAATTTTTGGTTCTAAAAATATGCAATTAAAATTATGAAAGATTAACTGGAAAGATGAAAAGATAACTGGAATTCTTCAATAAGAAATAAGAGATTTAAACAGGCAATAGTTATTAAGATAAAAATTAATATTTATAGTGATATAGATTTAAAGCAACTCTAAACTTTCCATGGAAGTTTCCCTGAGTACTTAGGTTCTTCTTGCAAGTAAATAAAACCTGTTTCTAATATAATAAACCAGAAATTGCAGAGCACTATATTTAGGAATGTAAGATTTAAAAAAAATAGTAGAATTTGCTAAATATTATTTAGCATATATGAATTCTAATCGTTTAGAGAGTGGCATTTTAATTTAGATGTTGATTCTATTGTAATTGCATTTTTTAAATTTTAGGTCTTGTACATAATTGATTTTAGCATAATGCGATTTTAGTAGTTTTACTGATTTTATTTGAATTTATCGTTTGCACATTTAAAGTTTAACAATTTGCAATTTTAGTGTTGTGAATTATTGTACACTTTTTAAGATATTTTGTTGATGGTGTTATGTTAATGCGAATTCTGGTGTGCATGTTGTATTGTCCATTGTGCGTTAAATTGTGCTATAGTAAGTTTCCTTATTTTTCTTTTTGATTTTCCTAACAACTATGTTATTTTCTTTTAGTTATCTCCAGTTTTTTCTTTCCTTTTGTGCTGTGTCTTCAACTTAAAAAAAGAGATTTACAGCTTGAATGTAAATTTTAAGTTATGTTTACTTTCTTTATACTAAAACTTTATTTACTCTGGCCCTGTCTTGGTTTCTCTGAACATATTTACTCTTAATGCTTACGGGCGAAATTGATGGGACACGGCCGGGTCGCTGAATGTCGTCGTTTATGGTTTTTATGAGGCGGCATAGTAGCGATCATAAGGTTTTTAAGACCAGGTGGATCGGGCCGTCCTCCAAATCTTACCTTGTAGACTCTCTCTTTGAAAGGGCATTGGGGATTAGGGAACCAAGTTGCCAAGTCCTGGTGGTGACGAACTATTCTCTACCACCTTTTTAGTTCGGGCACTAATCTAGAGTCATTAGGTTATTTTTGAAGCAGAAAAGATGGGATACATGTGCAACGCTCCAGCTGGACTCGAACTCGAATACGCTCCGAGTGTGTTACCGTTACACCACGAAGTCACGCTGGAAGGAGGGAGAAAATACCTTATTGGCGGTTTTTCTGGAATGCAGAAAAAAGGAGAAGAAAGAAAGTTTATGGCACCTTCTTGTTCGTCGAATTTAAATGGGAATAAAAAATAACTAAATCAATTTTCTAACAGACAATTTCAACTTCTGAGTCCATTTATTAGCTTTGATTCCACGAAAATTATCTTTCTTTAAAATTGGTGTGAGTGTTCCTACCATTGGCAGAGTGGAGACAATACCTTGAGCATTGGTACCTACCTCACTCCGGGTTCAAATCCAGGCGAATGGGCTCTCTCTCTTCTGCAACATAAATACTAGCCAGGTTCAACTAACTTTGCCTTAATCGATTATTCTAAGCTATGAAACAGGTGATGGTAATAATTTAATATGCTTTAATATGCTCCTTACTGAAAATTCTTCACTTCTGATGCACGGCACATACGCACTGATGATAAACATAGATGATAAATACCATTAAATAGATCTCCAGTAATCCAACCGAATAATCTACTCAGATAGTGTGAAATCAAAATCACCGGGGCTTAATTGCTTTTGAAATTTTAGACACCTAGATGGTATAGTTAATTAGCCGCCCATGTGGTATAGTGCTTAGTGACGATAACTGACGTGCCGAAATGACCGGGTTCGAACCCCAGAGCAGGCGTAGATGTTTGTAAACGTATAGCGTCTGTGCGGGCATGGGGGCACTTAAAATATACGGCCAGCTGAGTTATCTCGAGTGGTTTGATGGTAAGGGAAGAGGAATGGAAGACCCTAGAAACCCTCTCCCGGGGGTATTGTCTTTCAAAATTATGGCTCAAATGGACAAAGATGTATTGTCACCTATATGGTGTTCAATCCCATGCCAATGATAGACGCAGTCGTGAAATCCTTGCCAAGAGAAAGAAGTTCGTGGGCTTGTTCTGATTAGATCAGACAGGTGAAATTAGCCACAACAACAACTTCCATCACTAAATAATACCCTTAATCACGTTTCCTATACTGATTTATCAATTGCTGTCTCAACATTATTTTGATATCAAAGTATTTTATTTAGCTCCACCTCATGAGTAAGTAAATAAGCACGGTTTCAATAATTTGCTATCAATCGTTCTTGTCCTTCGTGTTTATAGACACGAGTACAGTGTACCATAGACATTGTAATTATATTTTTGAGTTATAATTTTAAGAACTAACTCTTTTTTGTTCGAAGAATTGCTATGCTGTTTTCAACGAGTAGATAGAACATTTTTTTCTCTTTGTGAAGTTTTTTAACCACATGAACAAGCCAGATGAACTTTGGCTTTATACTTAGAATTACTGTTATAGAACTATTTTGTTCTTTTTGTGTTGAATGTTATCTAATATAAATTCTCATTTATCAAAAGTTGTGCATTACATTACGGTATTATAAAGCAATATTTACAGCATTTTTACATTAATTTCAAATTTTTGTATCATATCTTGAACAAACTCTCGTTCAGAATTCCGTAAAATATGTCTCATATCATATTTCAATTTTATCTCGTTTGTATAACTTTGTCAGATTCCATCTTCATTATTGTTTCCTCTTACATGCATTCTCTTCGGTATGTTGTATTCCAGCTTCGGTATGTTGTATTGCAGCATGTTGTATTCCTACATCCTTTAAATAAGTAATCATTTGCGCATAGGCAAATCACCGTATTAATTACCAGCTAATGTTTAAAGTTGTTGAATTACACGTATATCCTTGTATCATTTGTGTTAAATATTCAGTAAGTGAATGTTAATTTTCAAATTCCGTTTGTTCTGCTGCTCCTGCATTTAAATAAGCTTGGAACATTAGGCAGAAATTGAGTTGAATGCGTCACGAGAAGCAACTATCTGTTTGAAATTAGCCCACTGTTATTATTAGTGCTGTTAAACTATAACTACTACTATGCCTTTGATATTTTGCAGTGCGTTTTGTCATCAGAAACTGGAGAATTTCTCCCAATTTAAACAAATAATTTATATATCTTTATTGAAAACTATAAAATATTCTAAATTTTGGATTCTGGTCAACGTTCAAGGAATTTTCTGAGGTTATGCTACTTTGCAATGAAGAGAAAGATTGGAAATTAAATTTGTTTTTGAGTCTTATCGATTCTAAGGAAAACCAAATCTACGATTGCGCCATTTTTGGTTGTTTACGGATGAAAACAGTGATATCAAATGTATCATAGCAACAAATGTGCGCTGTTAATCCTTTTTAATGCTGACATCTTCCATAACAAGTTCAGAATAACACAGTTATTGTAGACTCAGTCAGGTGGGAACAGTGCTTTGAATAACAGGTGAAGACCAAATAATTAAAGTCGAAACTATTGATAACTTGATCTCGGAAGAAAATGAATTCTTAAATATTATCAGACTTCAGTAGGAAGAAAAAAATAATGTTATTAAAATTTATGAATTCTCTGTGTACGTATTTCAGCGGTAAAACACAGTGATACATAATTCTGGACATGAGAATAAGGAAAAATAATAAGCGATGTTAGAGATTTTCAGGACAAAATACGTTTGTTTCAAGAAATACCTATTTTTGTCTCGTAAATCCTTATAACGTTCATAATAAAAATAATTTCGTTTAGTAATCATCTATTAAATATAAGATTTATAATTCCTTCTGCAAATCTAATACATGTCGTATCAGGTGATATTTAATCTTTAAATCTGAGGTTGTTAATATAATAAGCAATGCACGCTAATTTCTATTCGTTAACTTCAGGTCGAAGTATAATTAAATTTTAAAATAAAATAAAAATTAAATTACCACTGTTAGCTATTTGAAAAACACTGCTGTCATTTTTTTCTGAGCTGCTTAGTTTAATTTTGAAGTTCACTCAAGCAGAATTTGGAAATTTAATTTATGGACTTGAAATTTTAAATAGAATTTCGCAATTTTTCCCTGCACTACTGAAAGAGTATTCTTATTGTTTAGATTATGCTAAAGCACTCGAGAGTATCTGTTTAAAGAATAGATGCCTTCATGGAGGACATGTTAGGAGAACTGTATCGAGTTCACGTTATCCATGCAGAAAATCGATAAACCTCCCATGCAGTCAGTAATGTAGACGAAATTTGGTATCGGATTGAATAGCTGATGTTCAGCAGCTTTAACACTCAGCTGATGTTCAGAAGCCTTAACACTCAGCTGCTGGAGAGCCTGCTGAAAGCGAAAAGAAATAAAGTAAGTGATTAAATATATTATAAATAAGTAATGAAACTCAATTTGGCTTAGTCTAAACACTAGGCTAATTTTCGTAGACTGCCGGACGAGTTATCGTATCGTTTGTACTTCCCAGTCTAGAAAGCTAATGTAACAAAAACACTGTTAAAGTCAAACTTGAATACTTACTATCACATCAGCTTGGAGTTACGGGAAAGTAAACTGTTAAAAAAGTAACATCTATCTCTTTGTGGGCTGCTTCAATAACAAAGATGCAAATTATTTTCATATCAGAAATTAAATTTAACAACTTAACAACCTGACTGAACTGCTCTGCGATGAGTAACTTACTTTCAGTCAAACTCGCCAACCAACAAATAGCACAGCACAAAAGGCAGGGCAATAAAACAGGTGTTTCATCACAACAGGACTGAGGTTAACAACTCTCCTTTTGAACTTAGTTTTTTTCCCTCGTTATTTACACTTAATTCATTTACTTTTTCTGATCAAGTAGCCAAAACAGTAGAAATGCAAGAAACATTCAACATTTGAAGGAAGATGTCAATTAAAATAAACCTTGCAGGTATATAGATAAAACGACATTTTAAAATTAATCACAATTTGTAATCTGATAAAATATCACAGGTAAGATTACTAAATGAGAAGCCAAAGGTATGAATTTATAAAAATACGAAATATAAAAAGCAACAAAGATTTCCGAAAACTTTTTATTTTATCTTTTTTAGCTTATTTTCAACTTTTAATGCTGCTATTGTTGTATTTATTGCTGGTTTAAGGAATTTGAAAACTTACAATCAAATGATTAAAAATAAAAACACCAACAATTTTTGACACCATTTATAAAGACAAATAGACCATCTAGATGACAGCAACCCACTTTGAAGACACAAACACCACTTTGAAGGTTCTGTGATCCGTTAAAGTGCTAAACAATTTTTTCATCTCTCAAATTATTTAGGTAATCTGCAAATTAACTAGGCAATCTGCATATCACCTACTAGGAACTCGTTAAAGTGAAAATAAGATCTTTGCTGGAACAAAAGCAACTTTTCTGGACGCTTAAATTAACATAATGTTATTTATTTATTTTTAGATATCTAAAGAATCAGGTTAATAAAATCAAACAATCAACAAATTAATTGCTAGAATCAATCATCAGTCAATTAAAAAACTATAACAGAAAGCGTCAAACGGTTTAAAATATTATCTCAATTAAGGAAATGAATTTGTAAAATTATGCTTACCTATTAGTGCGATCTAAAGGCTGGTGACACTTCGAGTTACACAGCAACTAGTGTTTGTAAAAGGCACGTGGTACATTTAGATTTTCAGTAACATTTTCTAAAACCTGCCTAGTACCAAGGAACTGATTTATTGTTGTCTCACTTAAAGATAGTTTTACAGCGGAGACATCTTCTTTCGTTAAAAGTCTCTCTTTGAAAACATTGAATTCAGATCTTACACGCAATTGTTTTAAAATATCCGTTTCAGTACCAAGTTTATAAAAGACACCCTCTGTTTTACTAAGATTTCATAGCAAGACCTTAATTGACATTTGGGTGCTTTAGAAATTGCTAGCATTTTCTTTGCTTGCTTTTCTAAATCTTTCTTGGCTTCATCAAGCTGATTTTCTGACCCTTATTCTTTGTACGGATGTTGCACAATACATTCTTACCACACCCTCACACCCTTCTTCTTTAGGATCTATTTTACCAAACATTACGTGGACAAGCATGTCACCCAATTTACACTTGTGAGCACCTGACTGCTTTTGAGCAAACAATACAGACCATGTCTTGTATAACAATCTTTACAGACTCTGTACGAAACTATGATGGTGATTCTATTGATGGTAACTCAGTGATGACTTCTTCAATATGCAGAGGTGATTCCTTGAAAGTGCAGGGTAACTGAATATTCCGCATAACTGTATCCTCTGTCAAAGATGTAGAAGGCAGTTTAGGATTACTGTCGATAAATTCTTGCATTTCCATAGGTGATTCTGTAGAAGCAGAGGATGACTGGATGTTCTCTTGAGTAAGATTTGAGTGTGATCTTATAATCGCAGTCTCTTGTGAATCTTCTTATTTTTAAAAATCTTCTTTATTATTTCTGGAATAGAAGAAGACAATCCCACTTTTGCGGGACATCCGAACATGGCTTCGTATGGAATTCTTTTAATTGCAGAATGATAGACACGATTCTTCATGAATTGTACAAATCGATGCCCTCACTACACTTGTTAGATTGGTTATCAGCCATCTAAGTAGTGAACATATTTTCAATGTTTTGATTTGCTCGTTCGACATTTCCTTGACTTTGACTGCGTCTAGGTCATTAATCATTTTGCTTTCTGACCACAGCTGTGTTTCACATTTTAAGATTTTTATTATAAAATCCGCGTCCGTTATCAGAATGAAAAATACTTAGGACGCCAAAAGGAAGAAATATATTAAGCAAGATACAGGCTACTTCATCCGCCATTTTGAGGTGAGCGGCTTCAATACAACACATTTTGTTAAGTGGTCTTGGTATAAATTTCAGAAACGTAAACTTTCAATCTAATTGAGATTGGTAATCGACGTGATTCACCTCAGATCTGTTATTAAAATGCGATGAAATAATTGGCTTTACAACAATCCCTTTTTTGTTTTTATTGACAAAATTCGCATAAATTCAAAACCATTTTTACTTGGGCTTGGACAATGTTTTTTATAAAGTGTATTTAATTGCTTGCTACTTTAATTGTGTCTCTTCCACCGTGTCCAATTGACAGATTAGTAGAATGCAATGTTTCAAACAGTTCTTTGGAAAGTGTGGAAAAGTGTGGAAAGTGCGAGAAAGTGTCCAAACTTTCTCGCACATCTAACAACGGTTCGATGAGTTTTTTACAGCCTTCTACGGTCAACACATCATACCTTTAAACTATTTGATAATCTCGATATGATTCTTTTTTCTTGGAAACTTTTATTCGCTTTACATCTTCAATTATGAAATGTACTTTGGATTTGTCATTAAAACAGTTATATATTCTGAATCTTCGCTAAAGAGGATTGCGAAGAATCATTTCTACATTTTACTCACCAATTCGGTACTTGCTTGCATACATGGACCTAAATTTTCTGCTTTAAAAAAATCACGGCACAAACTCAAACGCTAACAGGCAGAAATGAATTTGAAAACAGACTAATTATGCTAGTCCCTGGCAGCCGACACGAATTATGAGGAAAAAAAACCGGCAACGACAATACGCTGGCAAAACCCATCTAAAAGTGGAGGGAGAGGGGGAAGGAGTAGAGAAAGGAAATGAGAGAAACAAACCTTTAAACTTTAACTGTACGGAAATCGCTAATGTACATACATAGGTACATTACATAGGTAAAATGCGGAAAACTCTTGATCCCGCACGTTAACGTAGCAAATCAGTTAATTTCCAGATTAGGTTAGGTAATGGACACATTAACGGCTTTCGAGCTTTAGCGGTAACATATACATACCATAAGCTACAGTAAGTCTACATCGGGTTTCAGATTAAATTTTCTATAATTAACTCGTACTATAGGAATAATCAGACGACGAAATACTGTCAAAATTCGTGTGCACGTGTTTCTGATGATGGAGAAAAGAAATGAGAAATTTAAATTCAAATTGACTTTCATGTATGAAAAGTGAAACTGCTAGGCTGACATGTGGCTTAATTCAAATGTCTTATGACAACTAATATTGCATAAAAATGTTAGTGCGACAACAGAGTTCATAATTATTAAAACTTTACGCTGAGTATGATTTGTTTAAATATCCCCGAGAAAATAGCTCATGACAAACAGCCCATGGTAAAGCAGCCTAAATATAACTATAAATATCTTATGTCTAGTTTCAATTCTAAAAATCTTTATGCGAATATTTACTTTTTATGTCATTCAACAAAATTTACATTCAGCTTTAGTATCTAAAAATGAATTAAAATATTTTCTGTACTTTACATACTTTTTAAAGAGTAACAAAGCATTCAAAACTATTAATAACATCAAAATCAGTCCTTATTGACCCTCATATTTTAAGATTATTCCAATGCTTAGATACTTTTTTGCGCAAAACATGCAGATCTTCTGTAAATTGTATAGCAGTTATAATTTAGAAATATAGACCAGAGAATATAAAGCTTTTGCATACCGCGATAAGCTATGTGTGGAAATCATTACTACGCCATCATACTTGATAAATGGTTGTAATTTTTTTAATGCCAGCATATGTAGATATGCGTACATCAAATTTGAAAGTCCATATTTTTATACTGCATTTGCTTGCATTATGTAATTACCGATTTATACATGCGCCGTGGCACTCTTTTTTTTTTTTACAGCCCGCATATATTTAGATACAAAAAGAAATTAAATACTGTTCGAGGGACTCAGTTCGAAAGCCTTAAATTTAGGCTATTTTGTTTCATGCACTATTTTCTCGTGGTCTATTTTGTCATAGTCTATTTTGCCGGGGGCTATTTTGTCGAGATACCGCTTTTCAAATATTATTATCTGAACGGCAAGAACGCAGCTGCCGCTTTTTGTGCAAATAGGTACTTGAAATGTGCGGAATGTCTATTGTGTCATATGATTCGCTATTTACAGAAACGATGTAATAACTGTTCCTATGAAAAGGAAACGTAAAGATTTAATCATTATAATGGAGAAAACAGCAAAAAATTGCAAACGTCATTGCCCAACGATCAGGTAAGAATGTTCAAGATTAAGTGTCCGTCAGTTGTAGAACATTCTATGGTGGACGTTCCATAAATATCTACGCTGGTAGAAGACTATTCTGTAATTGCATAAATAAGTGCTTTTGTTAATGTAATAGCTTGATACTTACATTTTCTTTATTCAACTGTTTGAAAATTGCTCAAAGCAATAACCAGTTATTACCACAAAATAAGTCGCTTTCAAGATGTTAAATTTGGACAGCGTTTAGCCTGCGATATATTTTCAGCCAGCCTCCCAAAA